ACGATTGGTGTGCCTCCAGGCTTGGAGGGCTTGCCCTGTGTTGATTGGTCAACTGGTTGTTATGGCTCATAGGCCCTCCCAGGGTGGTTGCTATGCTCTCTACGTCATTGCTGTGCGCTTGTCCGTAAAGCACACCCAGAGCCATAAAGCATAGCACCACCAGCTAACTTCTGATTGGTTCCTTGTCACAAGACAGGCATCTGACTTTCTGGTTTCTAGGACAAGGTCATAGAAGCACATGTTCAACCATTATGGCTGCCAAAAGGGAAGCCGGTTCCTTCAAGCACAAGCTTGTCCAGATATCAGGCATTCGGGCTGTTTTAGTGTCATGTTGGTTTGGGATAATTAATGGTGGGGCTTGTTGTAGTTAGCAATGCCAGTGTTGAGGCAGAGCAAATCTTGCTAAGTCAGAGCCATCTCAGTACTATCAGCTGCTCTAGCATGACATCCATACTGTGAAGCCATGATAAACTTTCTGGGTAGGTAGTGGTTGTACTTGGAGGAAGCAAACCCCTTCTCTGAGGGAACAACAGCCTTGCACTGAGGCTGGAATATCTCTCCATAGCCAGCCACCAAAGAGAAGTTTTATTCATGTGTCCCTGTGTTTTGGAATCTTGAACCCCAGATGATTTGTGCTCACTCTCCATTGGTTGCCTTACAGCCTGAGAATCGATTCAATTTGTTCCTGCGGAGGCGTCTTATGGTAAAATAGCGCTGGCTGCTGATGTCTGTGCCTGAGTGTCTGTAGTAACAGCCTAGTGCTTTCTGAATTCTGAATTCAACTCCATGGATGACATACACACTGGGGGTTTGATCACACATTCCCAGTTCCCAGTGGCATTTAACCATGGTTATTCTCAATCTTTTCCACTGGATGAGCCTATGTCCTAAAAGCATACATACAACACATTTACACACAGACAGTGTAAATAGGTTCAGAGGCTCAAGAACCATCAGGAATATAAATCATAGTAAGCTAAGTTCTACCCGGGTATTGCTTTGAAGTAACTGGGCATCTCTAAGGACAGATATATACACAAACAAATATATATATTTTATATATCATATATATGCTAAAATGTGTTTTATGTCATGTTTTCATAAAAATAAAAGCATGATTATTTTAATAGCATCTAGCTGTCTGTAACAAAATGAATGGATTTTTTTCTGCTCCATTTAGCTCTAATCAATTCTTGTTAAGAATCTGAAGACTTGGGACTGGAGAGATGACTCAGTGTTTACTAGAACTGGCTGCTCTTTCAGAGTTCCTGGGTTTGAACCTCAGCAACACATGGTGACTCACACTCATCTGTAATTCCAGTCCTAAGGGGATCCTAAGGTTAACTTTTCTAAACAATATGAATTCTCCTAAAAACATTAATGATTTTTTAAAGGTTCTACCATGCAAAATATTGTTATCACATACCTGGAAAAGCATGGATGTTATTTTGTTTTCTGACTTTGTCCTTTGATTATATGTAGACTAATTATATTTCTCTTGTCAGTTGCTTCCATAAATTTTGGTGAATTTTATGAAATATGTTCATTTTATAATGAAGTAAAAATGGTGTGAGTGAGTGTTTTATTTAGCTTTTCCTTTTTTAAAAAACGGAGTTATCGCCAACATACAGGAGCTCAATTTTCCTCAGGATTTTACTTTCCTTTATAGAAGGGGAGAGGCTGTGGGTCATTTTTTAGAGACAGGCAGATAAATCAAGCCTATCATTTGAATTACAGTATTCTGATACTTAGTCTATTATCCCTAGATATTTTTGTTTGCTTATTCATTTCCCCAGTCTTACCATCATATCCCTTGAGAGCTTGTTCCTCCTCCACCACAGCCACCAGGAACCCATAGGTAAAAGGAACTACTGTGTTCACAGACCACAAATCACGCATAAGGTTTCTGTCCTGTTTGTGGCTAAGCACCACTTATCCCTGTTATGGGGACTCTCAGCTGGGCTGACAAGTGCAAAGCAGCACAGGCCCTGCAGAAGATGCTCAGGAGCTAGCAGGTGTACCTGCTGAGAAAAATCAAGAGATCCAGCACCCATCCACAAATTCCAGGAAGCAGCTGGGAGACTTCCCACCAGGCACTGCATAATGCTGAGCCTCTCACAAGGGCCTATCACTCCAAAGTATAAAGTGTTACACTTTTCATATGAATGTCGAGGAATGCAAATCTCTTTCCCCCCTGAAATACTCAGTATTGTTTTTTGTTTTGTTTTGCTATCACAAAAGGGAAGGAATTTATGAGCTGGATGTCATGTAAAATGTGAATGTGTAATTCTGATTATTAAATTGAGAAAATTCATAAAACCATAAAGAAAATATGGATTGTGGCTCACCTGAGACACTGATGACAGACATTCGTAGGACTTAGCCATGGTGAGGCCACTGGCCAGCTACCTGCTTCTGATTCTTAACTGCACCATGATTTTTGCTTATGCTCTGGACTAATTGGTATGTTTAATTAAAACCACACATTTCTGTCTGAGCATACATTTTACTGTCAGTGTATAAGTACATTCATCTTACATTTTGGCCTAATTGCAGCATTTTTGTGAAAGCATGTGGTGTCTAAGCATGTGATGAATATGTTTCAGTCTTTCCTGGGTATATATCATTTAATCCTCTCTGTGGAATTTTATATTATAAAAGGGATCTAATTTCTGTTATGTTTTATCTTGACTTACTGTGTTAAGTATGGAAAAAACTGAAGTGGTGGTCAAATTGCAGCTACTTCCCTTCATGTTTTTGCCTTCTGAGAATAAAGAATAATGTAAAATCATGTCACTTACGTCTTCTACAGTTCCAGAGAAGTGAACAAAGCAAAGATTCGATCTTCTTCCGAGATGGAACTAGGCAGATCGACTTTGTCCTTTCCTATGTGGAAGATACGAAAAAAGACTCAGAACTAAAGGCAGTAAGTGCATATGTGGGAGAGGTGGGGAATAAAGATGAATATTCTATAGGCAGAACTGACTGAGTGTGCAGCCTGTCAGTAAACATTCATTTCCTGAATGTTTTGGAGATGATGACAGCAGCAACTTCTTTCTCCTCCCGTCGTCTTCTTCTCTCTTCCTCCCTTCTCCTCCTTCTCTTTCTATGTTACTGATATCTATTTTATACACCCTGCTTTAGATAGTGTGACCCCACAAATAGAGGATTTATCTCTGAATCTAGGGCAGTGATTCTCAACCTTCCTAATGCTGAGATCCTTTAATATAGTGCCTCATGTTGTGGTGACCCCCCACCATAAAATTGTTACGTTGCTGCTTTATCACTGTGATTTTGCTACTGTTACAAATCCTAATGTAAATATCTGATATGCATGATTATCTGATATGGGACCCCCAAGAGGTCATAGGTCACAGGAGAAGAATCACTGACGTAGTGTCTGCTTTTAATATGTAGTTTTCATCTTCAAAGTCTAATAAAACAATAGCTTTTGTGGTGATCTCTAATCCTGACTCTACCACTAATTACTTTCTGAGTTTATTTATTCTTTTTGCTTTACTGCCTCTAAGACCACAAGGTTGGTTCACCAGGCCAATCTTGTTTTCTTGTTCCTCGTTCCATCCCTAGGTAAAGTAGGATGAGTGCTCAGTATTTGAAATGATGACTAAGAGACTTGCTGTACATGTGCAGGGATTTATATGTATGTACATATATATGCAGGCATTTATTTATATGCTGAAATGTTGCACAGATAATAACTTGGAAACTGAGTGTTAACTTCAAAACCTGAACTTTCTTGGCTTTATATCTCTCTACATTGTTCCAGAAACCATCCATTAATGGCCTCATAGACAGTGGCTATCTTTGTGTCTTTGTATATTTCTATGGATGATCCCTTCACACCTTCCTTGAGGAGTTTTGCAACTCATAACCACCTTCCTTTTCAATAGGGACAGTACAGGCTGAGTAACTTGTTGACTTTATTCTCCCTCTTTTCTTCCTAAAGTTCCTGAGTTTTGAATCATATCAAATTGAGTTCATTGTTATTTAACCACTCCCAAGCCTTCCTGTTATTTCTGCCACTGTTTTCTTGGCCTCACTGTCACTCTCTCCTCCACCACTCCTTTCTGGTAACCCATGAACACAGCACATGCATAAGTGTTTATTTTGGCATTTGGCATTTCTGTTCTTTGATGCCCTTTATCAATGCTCTTAGCTTTTACTTAACCACCCATTCTCCTAATTATATCACAGCAAGTGATTTTAACTCTGTAAGTTCATTCCACTGGTCTGTTTAATTGACCTCTCAAATAGTGCTTGCCCATACACTATTTTTATCATACACAGACCAGCCATCCTCTCTCCATCTCTCCCTTATTTCCCTCTTTCCTTCCTAAACTTTCATTAGCATATATTGATTATGGAAGATGTGACATTCTCATACATGCATATAACATGCTTTGTTCATGTCCACCCAATCTGTTTCTTTCTCTGTTCCTCTTCCACACCTATAATGTCCCTCCCTTTTATTTTCACACCCCTCCACAGGCAGTACTTGTTTGGATAGTCCAGCTCTCTTCCCTTAACATGATGATCTCCAGTTTCAAATATATTCATGCAAATGCTATAATTTCATTCTTTTCCATTATGCATATAACACTTTTCCATGTCCACGCAATCATCTGTTGTCATAGTCAGTGTTCTATTGCTGTGCAGAGACACCATGACCACAGCATCTTTTACAAAGGAAGGCATTTAACTGGGGCTGGCTTATAGTTTCAGAGGTTTAGTTCATTGTCATCATGGTAGCATGCAAGCTAGAGAAAGTAGCAGGAAGAGAGAGAGCAACTGGGCCTAGCTTGGGCTCTTGAAACTTCAAAGGCCACCTGCAGTGACACACCTCCTCCAACAAGGCCTCCTAATTCTAAGTAGTTCTACTTTCTGATGACTAAGCATTCAGATATGTGAGTCTATCTTATTCAAAGCACCACATCTATTGAATACCCAGGCTGACTGCATACTTTAGCTGATGTGAGAGACCTGCAGCAAATGAGGTTCTGCAGGCATCTTCCGAGTAACTGCTCTTTACTCCTCTTCATCCAGCTCAAGTCTGATAGTCAACAGTTGTAATCATGCTGCTATACATGTCTTTATGTCCCTTCCTCCTACATTATACTTATTTTCAAAAAACCACCTTAAATAAAACCCTCTGTGTACTACTTGCAAAGGTCATGAATCCCAACCTCAATGCCAATCTCCATATAGAAAGCAATAGCCAAATCTCAGCTCTGATCTTGCTTAACTAGTGTATTAGTCAAGGTTTTCTAGAGTAGCAGAACTCATAGAATGACTCTCTCTTTATATATATAAATATGAAGGAGATTTCTTAGTATCACTTAGAGCAATGGTCCAACAAATACAACATTGGTTGGTTATGTGGCTATGAATGGAGAGTTCAAAATCCAGAAGTTGCAGTCCGCAAGGCTGGATCTCTCAGCTGGTCTTCAGTGGACACTGGAATTTCAAAATAATAGGCTCTAATGTTGGTGAAGGAATGGACTTGCTAACAAGGTGAGAGTAAGCAAGCAGAGAGCAAAAGCTTCCTTCTTCCATGTTCTTATATAGGCTTCCAGCAGAAGGTGTGGCCCAGATTAAAGGTGTGACTTCCCACCTCAAGATCCAAACTAAAGAGTTGTATCTTCCTGCTTCAAGATATGGATCAAAGATGTGTGTCTTCCTACCTCAAAAGTGGATTCTAGCTTAAAACCAGTCAAAAAATCTCTGTAGGTGTGCCAACCATTTCTGAATTGCACTTCTTTCCAGATGTAGTCAAGATGGCAACCAAGAGTAGCCACCACAAATAGTCAATATTTGGTGAAGTGAGTCCCTTCCTTGTATGTGTCTTCTCTTCATTTTGGGGGGTTCTACATCCTCTGGAACATTCTACCCCTTTGCTTGCTTCTCCTTGTCAATTGTCTTTCTCCTTTCCCCTTGCAATGACATTGACAAAGGGCATGGTTCTCAATCCTCATTTTTTTCTCAAGTTGGGTTGACTTCTTTGATGGTATCATTTTGTCTCATGGTTGTAAATCTAGAACCTTCATTTCTAGTCCATAATTCTCTACAACAGAACATAACTCAGTGTGCATCCACATCTCTATGTGGGTTTCACCAATGTCTAAAACTAAAAGGTTCCACTCCTAACATGCTCCCCAAAGCCTGACCCATCTCCAAATATACTCCATCTGTTTAACAATTACAAAAGAGGATAGAGTAAGATCAGTAGGTAAGACAATATATGGCCCTTGCAGAGGACCTGAGTTCAGTTCTCAGCACACATGTGGGTCAGCTCACAACTGCCTGTCACTCCAGGTCTAGGATATCAGTGGCCTCTTCAGGCCTCTATAGCCACTGCACTCACATGTACACACACACACACACACACGCACAAATATACAACATAGTTTTAAAAAGATATAATTTGTATGTTATAAATTACCTCCCAGCGCATAGCTATAGAAAGTGAATTACATGAAAATTCTACACATGTTATCATTCACTGCTTTTTTGTTGTTGTTTAAGATATATATGAAAAACCCCTCTCACAGCTAAAACTTTCCTCACCTAAAGTTTCTATCCTATTTTTCCATACATTTTCTTGCTCATGTGAATGGCTACCCTTGTGCATCTTCTACTACTCATTAAATCATAGCTTTGCAACAATAAACATAAACAGATTGAAATATTTTTATCTTTAATTATAACATTCTAAGCCTTATTTTTTCTTTTGGTATTGATTAATTTTATGGCTATGTAAAATTTATAATTACATGAGTTCATAACTGATAAAACATCACTGATATATTACAAAATATGACAAGAAAAATTTTAACATAAGCATGCATATCATAAATGCATTGATTGATGAGATACAGGGACATAACATTGTTTTCATCATTTATGCATGAATAAGATTATTCCTAGTATCAAAGGGTTCAGGTTCAATTATGTTCTTTTGTTCTTACATATCTTGGTGCAAAGTAAGGTGATTTGGATCAATAGGTTGAAATTACTGAACTAGAGAGTTATTGAACCCCCTGAGTTTTATACAAGTATTTTTTAAAAAGGTGGGTGGAGAGGTGACTCAGTAGTTAAGAGCCTTGACTGTTATTGCAGAAACCTCTAGTGTGGTTTCCAGCACATTCGTGGAGACTTGGTGCTATCTGTATCTTCAGTTCCAGGAGCTCAAATGGCCTCTCTGTCCTCTGCAGGCACTTCACACATGTGGTGCACAGACATACAGCTAGGCAAGACACTCATATATGTAAAAATAAATAAAATCTTTTGACAAATCTGGAACATTAATTACAAAGCATGAATGTTTAAAATAATGCTTAATGTCCTGGCATTCGCTCTTAGTTTTGCCCTAAGTTCTGTTGAACTCTGAGGATAGGTGATGCTGTAAGTTACAAAAGCCCATGTCTTTGCAACTGAAGATTCAGTCACTCTGTTGGTGCTGGATACAGCATTTTAAATTATTCCTGCTGGGTTTTTTATTTTTTATATTATAGAAATGTATTTAAGTAAAGATAGCTGAGGAGGAAGGAATTTCTACATAGGCCCCTTCAATATTAGCATTGGAAGTGGAAGGACATACTAAAGTGATTCCTTATAAAGTCTGACAGAACTTGAAGGCGTGGGTGTAAAGATTTCACTAGACCCAAGATAAATGATAAATGGGTGTTTATTGGGGAACACTTACACAGATAAATGTAAAAAACCACGGGAACACCTCTCTGCCCTTTCTAATGGATCAGCTGACCCAAGAGAAAGGACTGTGCAAAAAGAAGTCATGCCTCAAGCTTCCCACTTTCTGTGTCTGTCTGCCTGAAGCCATGCCCAAAGTGGTGTGGCCACTGTTACAGGTTCACCAGAAAGACCACTACAGGAACCTATTGGGCACAAATACTCAGAACATCCTAGTGAAGCCTTTCAGATTTCAGTCTTTCTGAAAATGTTCATATTTCAATCACAATGAAGGCTGGAAGAAGATTTACTTGTCAATGCTTTGTCTAAATCTTACAGTAATTATTACTTGCAAGCCATGAACTATAGTGAATTTTAATTTGCTTTCTCTATGTGAAAGCCCTCTTGCTGTTCAAGAGCAAAACCCATGATGTGATTATAGCCTTAAGTGGCATTGAATAATTTATGTGAGGATCTCTGGTCTTTGTAATAATGTTGAGTCTTTACCACCTAGGAGCCTATGTGTCTCTGTCCCCAAAGGATTCTCGTACTTTCAAATCACTCAGCGAAATTTTGTGCTTATCTTCAAATAGAGCCTATAAATATTAGAGATTGATCCTGTTTTGTATTTCCAGAGTTTTGTCAATTATGTTATACAGACCATCGCCTGAAGGTAGAGATGTTTTGTAAGGTATTTTTATATACAGTCATAGAAGGTGCTAGAACCCTTTGGAAGCACAGCCTTGAGTCTGCCTAACCCTAAATAAGCCATCACCAATGTTAACCAGGAATGCCAGATAACATGGAGTTATGGCCTAACACAGATAGTCACCCTAGCAGCACTAACAAATACAAAGGTTTGGCCTGGCATTGCCAGCTACCATGGAGGGTCAGTTTGGCACTGACCACTAGTACAGAGTACCTGCATCACCCTTTTCATTTGCTTTTGCCATAGGAAAGAAGACGTGAGTTTGAACAAAATCTCAGAAAAACAGGTCTGGAGTTGGAAATCGAAGACAAATCGGTAACTGTATTTAATAAATTATGCAAGGATCTTATTTTAAGTGGGCTTTTCTCCTATTCATGTATTTAGCTGGATAGATGTTGGGTTTGGAGCAATACACAAATCTTTTGGCTACAGAAATGTACATGGAGACAAGAAGACCTGCATTGTCACAAATCAGTAGTCAATGTGGTGAAGTGTCAGTGAAACATCTTTCAAATGTGTAGGAGCATGGGAAGTGGGAGAATGACCAGGCTGTAAAGTGCTTGCCGTACAAGCATGAACACCCATGCTTTACCCAGAAGGCATTGAAAAATTTAGACGTGGTAATATGTATTTATAATGCCAACAACAGGAGACAAGTGGGTCCCTGAGACATACTGTCCATCTCCAGTCTATCCTCATTGGTGAGCCCCAGGTCCCAGTGAAATACCCTGTCTCAAAGCACACAAACAAACAAGGTGAATGGCTCCTAAGGAACTACACCGAAGATTGACTTCAGCCACCCACACCCATGCACTACATATGCAACATGATACACACACACACACACACACACACACACACACACACACACATGAACACACATACTTTCTCCTCAGGGTACAGAAAGGTGAAACACTGTGTTTACATAGCTGTTTTACCTTGAAGCAGCCTGTCACATTTTACACCAAACCTGGCTGTACTGCAGGATAGCCCACTATTTAACCCTTGGTGCTCTGTTCATGAATAGGTTACATTATTTTATTCTTTAACCCCATTCATGTTCATTTACTGTTTTTCAGCAATTATCTTTCAAGTTGTGTTTAAAGCCCTATATAAGATCACATTCTATTTGTGACTCTTCTGTTATGCTCTAACTTTGATTTTGTTTTCTAATTATTATTCCTCATCAGTTTTTAATGAACCAATAAACACGTGTAATAGAACACAATCTGTGACTTATTTTCCTATGTGCTGGACCTTCAGGTGGCTCTATGCAGTTACTGTGTAAGAAGAGAGGAAATATTTAACAGCATGCATATAATATAATATAATATAATATAATATAATATAATACATATTGGTTTTCTCATATAATTATCTAAACAAAATCCTGAGCTCAAAAAATATTATGGTATCCAGAAAAATATATATGTATCTGTGAATCAATTTAGT